CAGTGTTATCCAATCTCACTGAGTGGGTAGTGCTATGACAACAGTGACTGGTCTTCTTGTTGCGAGCTCCGGCCTACACCACAAAGGGGTGCAGATGGCTCGCACAGGACACTGGAAGGTGCAGCATCCATGGCGCTTTGGTAGGGATCCCAATTCATCGGTCACCGACGTGACTCGGAGTGACCGACTGAAAGAGAACGTCTCGGTTATGTATGTAGCCCTTGTTCCCTGAAGGAGGGAACGGCGACGTCACGTCCCATCGCCACGGCAGCTGTACCACCGCTGAGCGGCTGGGTCACCGGCTCGGCTCCTCAGCGAAAACCCGATATGCATTGCACCCGCTGCCTTTTTATGCTCACGCTGTGATCAGCGGCAGCTGGATGCAATCATCGCATGCCAATGTGCATTGGCTCATTTAGTTTACACTCAAAGTGGATTGGTCTCTCTAAGCGAGATCCCAATTCGTCGGTCACCGACGTGACATTTCCGTTCCCTCCTTCAGGGAACGAGGGTTACATACGTAACCAAGACGTTTCTCAGCACCATAAACATTTTAACTAAATCGGAGATGATACAGATAAAATAAAGAGTCTCATACATGTCCTTCACAGGGAGGAAGATGTGGAGGAATGTAATGCTCTAAGAGGAAAACCGGAAGGTATGTCTAAATGGTATGATCACAAATACTGTTCAACTTTGACTTGCTGTAGTGAGTTTACATCTTTACTTTTTATATTACAGCATCAAAGGCTATCACTCAAAAACGGCCTTTTATATTGAACCGATGGCGGCAGTTCTGGTTTGCACCGGTCACTTCGTTTCTAGGCAATGTGTTGATGTACTTCCTCTTCCTTTTCCTGTTTGCTTACATCCTATTGGTTGACTTCAAGCCCCCGCCTCCCAACGGACCCGCCCCCTCAGAGCTTGTGTTGTATTTCTGGGTTTTTACTCTGGTCTGTGAGGAGATTCGACAGGTATTAACAATCTCCATTGTGTTTACACACATTTCAATGCACTTGTTCAGTCGCTGAATCTTAATCTCCCGCTCAGACTTTTTTTGTAGGATCTACCACTGTAATTCAAAGGATGAAGTTGTACATCCAAGACATCTGGAACAAGTGCGACATCACGGCCCTCACGCTCTTTATTCTTGGGCTTCTCTGCAGGTTAATTCAGTGAAATCTGTCCTGTATATGTTCGTGCATGTGATTGTATTGGTTAGTGCATGTGCATTTTTGTTACAGAATGTTTCCGTGGACATATAATTTCGGACGTGCAGTACTGTGTGTCGACTATATGGTCTTCACGCTCAGACTCATTCATATATTTGCAGTTCACAAACAACTTGGTCCCAAAATAATCATAGTTGGCAAAATGGTGAGGAGTTTTTCATTTGGAATGTGCCCTAAAAAGTGCATATAATCCTGCTAAAGAGTGATTATGAACTCCACAGGTGAAAGATGTGTTTTTCTTCCTGTTCTTCCTGGGGGTGTGGCTAATGGCATATGGAGTAGCCAATCAGGCACTGCTGTACTCCTACGACTCTCGTCCTGGTTGGATAATTCGGCGCGTGTTCTACAGGCCATACATGCACATATATGGGCAGATACCACTGGATGAAATTGATGGTATGTGTGTGTATGTCTGTCTCTGTGTCTCTGTTGTGTGTTATTTTTGCTATACAGTTCCATCACAATATACCTTTCAAAACTTTGGGGTCTGTCTATATGAAATTCTGTTTTCTATCGAAAGTCTATTTTTTGTAACAATGTAAAAAGTCTTTACTTTTACTATTGATCAATTTAATGCATCCTTGCTGAATAAGAGTAGTACTTACTGACCCCAAGCTTTTGTACTTTTAGCTGATTTGATTGATTCTGTTGTAATAAGTTTTGTTCTTTGACTCTAGCTGACAAGCGACATGAGAAAGTGTGTACAGACAACGTCACGCTCATCCATCAGGGGGCGGAGCCATGCCCACAGTCTGATGCTAACTGGCTGGTTCTTATTCTGCTGTCAATCTACTTGTTGGTCACCAATATTCTGTTGGTGAACTTGCTCATTGCAATGTTCAGGTAAAAAACTACACCTTCAACACTGATCTAACATCAAATGTCTTCCTGTTTGTTTTTAAAACAATGATTTTATATGGACTTAGCTGTTAACTGGCAAATGTTACATGGAACATGACTGGATATAACTGCAAGATGTTAGATTGCTAGATTTCTCCAAAAGTTAGTTCCATGGCCACTTATGCACAAGGAGGTGGAGTGTTTATTAATTTGTAAATATTTTGAAATTGCTTAGTTAAATCACATTTGAGTTAGAATTTGCATCTGTGTAGTAAAGAGTTTATGAAAGCAATAAGTATTTGTTATTGGCTGATATTACAAATGTTTAGTTGATATATACAAGAGTTGAAATTTTTTTGGGTCAGTAAGATTAAAAGAAATTAATACTTCTATTCAGCAAGGATTCATTAAACTGATCATACGTCAGTAAAGACACTTATAATATTCCCAAAAAAATTTCAAATAAAATATTTAATATAAAGGCTGTTCTTTTGAAATTTCTATTCATTAAATAATCCTGAAAAATGTGTCATAGTTTCCACAAAAACATTCAGCAGCACAACTGCTTTCAATATTGATACAAATAAGAAATGTTTCTTGAGCAGCAAATCAGCATATTAGAATGATTTCTGAAGGATCATGTGACACTAAAAAATGGAGTAAAGATGCTGAAAATTCAGCTTTGCATCACAGGAATAAATTACATTTTAAAACATATTCATACAGAAAACTTATTTTAAATGTAAATATATTTGAAGTATTATTAAATATTATATTACTGTTATATTACTAGTTTTACCCAATATTACTGTTTTAACAGTATAAAAATTGTTTTTTATCAACCTTTGGTTGATTGATGAGCATAAGAGAGTTCCAAAAACAATAAAAAATATTACCGACCCCCAAATTTTGAACAGTATGTGTCGATTGGATATATATCAGCTGATAATGGATTTTCAATTATTCATGATCATTTCCCCTATTTTATATATATTTAAATAACTTTTGCCATCATCTAATGCTCACTTAAAGTTGAGCTAAATCTTTAGCAAACCTTGAAATGCATATCCATGATTCATACTTTACATTATTATGCCTTGAGTAGCATTTAATACAGTTAATTTTATTTATAGTGTCTTTTATTTTTTACATTTTTATACAAAATAGTATAATAGTATTTAGTATAATAGCAAAATAGTATTATGAAAATAATAATCAGCTTCGGTATCAGACAGAATTGTATTATTGGTGTATCCCTAGCAATGAAAGACTAGTGGCAGAAGGGGTCCATTTGCTGCTACATTATTCTATTAACAATACACAGTGGCGGCTCCAGGATTTTTTTGTTGGGGGTGCTAAGGGGGGGCTTAACAGTTCAGAGGGGGTGCTAAAAAACTAAATAAATTGAGTGAAAGTAATGAACGCCTATAAGCTTCAGCTATCTAAACAGCATGCAAATTCAGCCACCTTGTGTATTTTTATATACAGCAGCTTCGAAAAAGATATTTTAAATTTTTTTACTGTGGTATTAAACTTCTCATATGCCACTGTTATTGGTAATATAACTTCGAATGCCAACTGCCAAATATGACACTTACAAGTTAATACAATTTATGAACGCACATAGAAAAGAGAGAAAGTAGGGATTTTTTCTTTATTCATTGTTTTATTTTATTTTATTTTATTTTACACATATCTATTTGGTCATTTTTTCTGACCATCAAGTGTCAGTCACTCTCAATGCCAACTGGCAGGAAAACATGTTAAATTCTAACCATTTTTTACAATAGATAAAGTGCCGACAATTCATACAACTATTTCCACACAGTGGCATAACGGACGGGCACGCAGAGCACGCACTGGTCGCGGGGCCCCGCGATAACCTCCCCGTGCTGAGTTGCGTCGTATCATGTGTTGACGATAGCGAGAGATATTGTCAAAAGCATCAACAATTGGCAATATTAAGAGGATTTAGCATGTCCAATTAATATAGGCCTGTTACATTCTTCTTATTATTAGGCCTATCATTATTATTAGGTTACTTTTATTATTAAATTATCTATTATTATTAAATTACATGAAATTATTGCCCCGCATGACGCGCTGTGAGGATAATTAAAGTTTAGGCTATTAGCTTACTACTCATTGAAAATGTTTTTTAAAAGTTTTTTTTTTAACAGGTCTATTAATTTATAAAATGAATTATAGGCCTATAATTAAAATGATTAACACTGCAGTCATCAATGAAAATTAAGAGCAGCTTTATTTCGTGCACCGATTTTCAAAAACAACCTGTTTAATGAGAAATACGTTTCTTCTCATGTTTTTCACTATACAGGACTCAAGAGAAATATTAAGGGAATACGTTCATGCAGCGTTAGAAAGCTCCGTCAGTTTTTTTACTTTCACTTTCTCTATTGACTGACGTTCACCGGCATAACTCTTGTTGCTTGACCCCTCCCCCGTAATATCAATTGTTTATAGGCCACATATTAGGCCATTTTTTTAGGGTTTTAATGTTTAATTTTTGATGTTAATGAAAGTGACACCAAAAAATAAGAACATTATTAGGAAATGGTTGGGGGCTGTGCCGGGGCTAAGCAAGTTTCTGATGGGGCTATAGCCCCGTCAAGCCCCGCCCTAGTGACAATACAGCACAGCCTCTCTAACCATATCGCTTAGTATGATTGTGTGTTTATGTTATTTGTCTACAGTTACACATTCAATAAAGTTCAGGAGCACAGCGATGTGCACTGGAAGTTCCAGCGCTACAACCTGATCGCGGAGTACCACTCGCGCCCCTGCCTTTCCCCGCCCTTCATCATCATCTCCCACCTCCATATCTTCTTCAAAAGAGTAATTCAGAGATTGCCCTCCAATAAGAACCAACACTTTAGTACGTTCTGACATATACATCACATGATCCTACATTATACACAGAGTCTCATTTGCAAGGTTTGTAAAGAGATAGTTCAGCCATGAAAATCCTGTTATCGTTTACTTTCCCTCATGTCGTTCCAAACCTGTATGACTTTCTTTCTTCTGTGGAACTTTAAAGATATTCTAAGAAATGCCTCATAGTTTTTTGTCCACAAAATGGAAGTCAATAGTCACCAAAACTGTTTGGTTACCAACTACCTTCAGAAAAGAAAGTCAGAAAGAAAGAAAGAAAGTCATACAGGTCTTGAATGTGACATGAAGGCCACGAAGAGGGCATGAAGAAGAGTAAATAATGACAGGGTTTTCATTTTTTGGAGGAACTATCCCTTTAACCCTGAGGCGTGTCTTTTTCCTTAGTGTTGGACCTGAAAAGCAAAGAGGCCAGTTTGCTGAACATGTGGGAATCGACGCTGAAGGAGAACCTGCTTTCCATGCAGGGCAAGAAACAAAGAGAGTGTGACACGGAGCGGCTAAAACGCACCTCCACAAAGTCAGTCACTCCTATCACTGTTCTTTCATACTCTCAGATCAACAATTACCAACTTATTTTACATACTTCAAATGTGAATTTTAGAAAAGATGAGTGAGTGGGGAACATATCCGTCACTGACAAGTAGATCTGTATGTAATACACACCCGGGGCGGGGGCATTTAGTAACCTTGGAGTGGCGGCTCTCGTTTCACGTTTATGTGCGTGTGAAGGGGGGAGACATGGAGACTGTCAACGCCTGCTGAATCAGGCACCGGCATCTTGAATGTCAG